AACTCGTAGGTTCAAGGGATCCTCTCACCTTGGCCTCACAAAGTGTTGGGATTACAGGCATGAGCCACCGCGCCCAGCCCTTAGGTCATCTTTATGTAGTTAGGGTGTTGGGCACAAAAGCCAGTTGTTGCCTTTCCATAAAGAATGAGTGTTTCGGCTGGGCGCGGTGGCTCACGCCTGTAATCCCAGCACTTTGGAAGGCTGAGGTGAGACCAGCCTGGCCAATATGGCAAAACCCCTATCTCTATTGAAATTACAAAAATTAGTTGGACATGGTGTTATGGGCCTGTAATCCCAGCTGCCTGGGAGACTGAGGCACAAGAATTGCTTGAATCCTGGAGGCAGAGGTTGCAGTGAGCCTGGGCCACAGAATGAGATTCTGTCTCAGAAAAAAAGAATGAGTTTTCTAACGATCCCGCTGCTGTGTTGAGTGTTTAGCTCTCACCCGGCTAAAGCAGCGATTGGGCAGGCCGATTGAGAGGCTTGGTGCTTTCTGGGCATGAGCGCAGTGCAGGGTGGCATTCTGTCCCTGTGTGTTTGGTGGTGAGCAGGAGCAAGTGTGTGCACAGCCCTAAGAAGCAGTCCTCATCGTCCAAACAACCTCAGAAGGGGGTTTGACTCTGAGGTGATGTGTGCGCAGTGCTTACAGCTCGTTGGAAACCCACTATTTTCTCCATAAAAAGTATTGAGGTTGCATACTTAACTGTAAAATTTCTATCATGTTATCTTTCTCCAGTGGTCACTAAAGACCATTTTATAGGTGTTTGCTGCATTTTCATGGACAACTGGTATCTGCTCTTTTTTTTTTTTTTTGGAGACAGTCTCCCTCTGTCGCCCAGGCTGGAGTGCAATGGCGCCATCTTGGCTCACTGCAGCCTCTGCCTCTGTCTCCCAGGTTCAAGTGATTCTCTTGCCTCAGCCTCCTGAGTAGCTGGGACTACAGGTGCCCACCTTCACGTCTGGCTAATCTTTTGTATTTTTAGTAGAGACGGGGTTGCACTGTGTTAGCCAGGATGGTCTCCATTTCCTGACCTCATGATCAGCCTGCCTCGGCCTCCCAAAGTGCTGTGATTACAGGCGCGAGCCAGTGCTCCTGGCCTGGTTTTTTTTTTTTTTCTTTCTTTTTTTTTTCCTTTTTGGAGGCGGTCTCGCTCTGTTACCCAGGCTGGAATGCAAGGTACAATCTCAGCTCACTGCACCCTCTGCCTCCTGGATTCAAGGGATCCTCGTGCCTCAGCCTCCTCAGTAGCTGGGATGACAGGTGTGCACCACCACACCCGGCTAATTTTTTTATTTTTAATTTTTTTAATTTTGTAGAGATGGGGTTTCACCATGTTGGCCAGGGTAGTCTTGAACTCCTGACCTCAAGTGATCCGCCTGCCTTGGCCTCCCAAAGCGCTGGGATTACAGGCCTGAGCCACTGCGCCCAGTCTACTCTCATTGTTACTGCCAATGTCGATGGCACGCGGCTGATACTCTCAGAGCCTTGGCTGGGTGTATTTGCCTTACCTTTGCCATTTTTGAGGCTTGGGAAACACCTTGAATTGTAATGATTCTGAGTGCTGGGTTTTATAAACGTTAAAATGTTTTAGGATGCAAGCACCAGCTGTCTAGTGGAGTTCTCATGTCCTTTCTCTGCAGGTATTTGAAATATCTCACCAAAAAATATTTGAAGAAGAATAATCTACGTGACTGGTTGCGCGTAGTTGCTAACAGCAAAGAAAGTTACGAATTACGTTACTTCCAGATTAACCAGGACGAAGAAGAGGAGGAAGATGAGGATTAAATTTCATTTATCCGGAATATTTTGTATGAGTTCTTGAATAAAACTTGGGAACCAAAATGGTGGTTTATCCTTGTATCTCTGCAGTGTGGATTGAACAGAAAATTGGAAATCATAGTCAAAGGGCTTCTCTTGGTTCGCCACTCACTTATTTGTAACTTGACTTCTTTTTTTCTGCTTAAAAGTTTCAATTCTCGTGGTAATACCAGAGTAGAAGGAGAGGGTGACTTTACGGAACTGACAGCCACTGGGGAGGCAGATGCCGGTGTGGAGGTGTGGGCTGAAGGTAGTGACTGTTTGATTTTAAAAGTGTGACTGTCAGTTGTATCTGTTGCTTTTCTCAAACAATGATTCAGGGATACAAGTGGGCTCCTCTCGTTCATTAAAAGAAAATGTGACATCTTCTAAGATTCTCTGTGGGAAAATGACAGTGTCAATAAAATGCGGGTTTCTGGGCCATTCGTCTTACTTTCATTTTTTGATTACAAATTTGACACACAATTATGTCTGTTAATCATGTTCTTCCTAGAGAGAGAAACGGTGCTCCTTCAGCGTTGCTGCATAGTCCGTCACTCTCCATAAAGGGGTTTGGGGAATCGATTGTAAAAGTCCCAGGTTCTAAATTAACTAAATGTGTACAGAAATGAATGTGTAAGTAATGTTTCTACAAGTCTTTGCCACAAACTGTGACTTCGGCCTCCAGCAGAGGGAGCTGGAGGAATAGTGCTGCCAGATGTGGTCTCCCATGTGGGGCCCAGCGATGGCGGCCCCTGATGGCAAGAGCTCTGGAGGCTCTGGTGAAGGGGGGACACCAAGGAAAAGTGACTGGGAAGCCTCCCATGCCAAGGAGATGGGAGGTGCCCTGGAAATAGCTGCCTCATGCCACTTAGGCCATGACTGGATTTAATGTCAGAAGTTACTCTATAAACAGGGTATGCCGCAGTGCAGAGGCTAGACAACTGTGAACGGGGCTCCCAAAGCTGGCAAAAGAAGATGCAATTGTTGCCGTGAGTGACTTTGAAAGCCCCTGGTGCCTTGCGGTGCCCTTCTGAAATTCGAACAGTAATGCAGAAGTGTCTGCTTTAGAATTTACGGTGTCTAAAATTCATGTTTTTAAAAGAGCTTGCCTACAGATGGTTTCCACACCCGAAATTGTGCCGTGTGAGTTGCATAGCTGGAAGTTCAATGCTCAGTCCTACCTTGGCTCCCATTAAACATTTGGTGCTCTGTGGATTGAGTTGAACGTGTTGAGGCTTTGCAATTTCACTTGTGTTAAAGGCTCTGGCATTTTTCCATTTCTATGCAGATTTCTTTGAAGCAGAATTGCTTGCATATTTCTTCCCTGCCTTCACAGAAAGCAGAGTTTCTTTCAAACTTCACTGAGGCATCAGTTGCTCTTTGGCAATGTCCCTTACCATGATTATTAAGTTTGTGGCTTGAGTTTACAAATTTTGTTTGTTGCATTGATGTTCCCATGTAGTAATTTTCAGTTTGGTTGTGAAAAAACCCTGGGCTGAAGTTAGCATTTAAGTTAAAAGAAAAAAAAAACTAGTCCCAGATTTGAAAACTTGTAATAAAATTGAAACTCACTGGTTTTCTATGACTTTTTGAACTCTTGTAATCGAGTTTTGATCACATTTTCTATTAAAGTGGCTAACACCTGGCTACTATTACTGTGCGAGGCTTTGTTTTTTTAAGGACTGGCATGTTAAGAAAAGCTTTGTCCTCATGAATTAGTTGCTGTGCCAACAGTTACGTTGGTCTTTACTAGGCTTAGAAGAAAAGATGTCCTTTATTTCGGCTTTTCTTCCTTTAGTTGTGCTGTTTTGTTGCAGTGAGATTCAGGAGTTGGCGGTCACTGAACTCTCTTGTGTAGAATTTCTCCAGATCCAGAGCCTGGGGAACAACTTTGCCAGCAAATGCCGTTTTCTGGTGGGGAACAGGTAGTGTGAACTTGAATTCCATTAGAGCCATGACACCAGCTGCGCCCAAAGCACACTGTAGACCAGTTTCCTTTGTATCTGTTTTGACTCACACCTCACTTGCCCGCATCGAAAATAGCTGAGGCACAGGGGCTGACTGGGGTCGTGAAGAATTTCAGGCCGTGATTTCAATTCATAAGAGTCCCGAAACAGGAGGTCGGTGTCGTCTCAGCCAATGCCAGTTACACAGACATCCTCACGCCCTTCCCTTGAGTGTGCTAGTGCAGCCGAGGAAATGAGGTTTGTTGATGTCACTAAATGCTACCAACTAGTCACTCCTAAAGGCTTCATATGTTTTCCCTCCAAAAGCCTCTGATCCCCCTTTTGCCATGGCAGTAGTGTGTGGGTTTTGAGTGCTGTTGTCCTCATACCTTTTCAGGAACAGCCAGGTGTTGAAATACATGGGTCCAAACTTCGCTCATGAATGGTATGTAGCACAGAGGTGGTCAGAAACGGGGAAAGTGAGGAAGTTGGATAATACCAAGTGTCTTAAGACAGTTGATATCTGGGGCTATCTGGATCTCAGCCTTTTTAGGGGACACTTGATTTCCTGGAGGGTGAAAAGGACCCCAGCGGTGGGGAAATAATGGTCTGACTGTTGAAGTCACTGATAATGTCAGGGGAGCCTGGAATTTGGTGTTGACACCTGATTTCATTTTCCATTTGTACATGGGACTCAAACCCTTAAATTTGTCAAATGTTGTAAGCCAAGAGGTGCTGGCCCTCTCATGGGGGAGGGGGACCTAGGATATGGGACAGTTACAGATCTGGCAGTTCCAGGGGACAGACCATCTCCCTAGTAATGCTTGGACAGAACACGGGGGTGACTGGAGGCAGAAGCTGCAGGGTAGGGGCACCACGGCGGTGAGAGATGGGTCAGGCCCCCAAAGGAGAGCCCAGGTTGGCACCTGCCCAGGTTGTTCGGTGGGGTTGATTCTCTTTGAGGGAGAAGAGGGTAGCAGAGAGGCTTGGTGTGGGGATTTGCCATCCCTGCAAGGAGGTGGCCCTCCACCTACAGGAAGGTGGGGACTGTCTGTTAAAACGGTGCCATCACAGTGCTCATCTCTAGGAAGAAGAAACTGAATTTCTAATCCAGCCATTCTCTTGTCTTTGGGATGGATTTGAGAATGCACATGCTTTTTTTTTTCCCCAGGCTATTTTGGGCCCAGCTAAAACAGTCTGTAAAGGCTGTGCTGACCAGTGGAGTGAGTTAGCTACCACCACAGCTAGAAACCAGAGAGCACCCATAAAACGTTCTCAGGCTTACACAAGTATGTTCTCAGGTTCAGGGCCAAGGCCTGGGACTGCCTTTTTGAGAAGCTCCTTCCTCCCCTGCAACCCCAACTGGTTGGAATTCAGGTGATGCAGGGTCCACACTTTCCCAAAAAGGCTTCAAGTGCAACGAAAGTCTTGGTGTAGCAGGTGGGCACTGAGCCTTCACTGCAGAGGACACTGCGGTCTTGAGTGACGCCGCTTCACCCCTGCCGAGGAGGAGGTGTGGGGCAGAGTTTTGATCTACATGACTGGCTGTGAGGTGGTGTATGTACAAGCACTTCATTGCCCTTGAGAAGCCGACGGTGCCAGGTGGCCACAGCGTGGATATGCATTGTTGAACGAACTGGCCTCAGGCAGGGCTTGGGGGTTCCTGGATGAGGAGTTCATGTAGCCCTGGAATGGAAATTGAGTATGGTATGTGCAGAAGATGATGAGCTTGTTCAACTCTTTTCTTGGAAAAAGTTCTTTTTCTATTTTTGAGACAGTCTCGCTCTGTCACCCAGGCTGGAGTGCAGTGGTGCAATCTTGGCTCACTGCAACCTCTGCCTCCTGGGTTCAAGCGGTTCTCCTGCCTCACTCTCCTGAGTAGCTGGGATTACAGGTGCCCGCCACCATGCCCAGCTAATTTTTGTATTTTTAGTAGAGACGGGGTTTCTCCATGTCGGCCAGGCTGGTCTCGAACTCCTGACCTCAGGTGATCCGTGATCTGGGATTACAAGCGTGAGCCACTGCACCCAGCCGGAAAAAGTGTTTTTCCTTGATGCTTTTGTAACCAGTATATTAAAAAATATTTTGATTTTGGAATTGTCACTGAGATGTAATTATGAGCTCTATGATCAGCAAACATGAGAATCTTGTCTCCTAAAACAGTAACCTTAATGATAGGCTTGTTCTCGCAACTGCAGTTTACCGAATGTTCACTGCTTTAGGGATTGCTTTTAACGTCATGCATTTTTGGCCCATTGTCATTAAAATGCCCATTTGATAGTTTGAAAATAATAAGGGCTCTTCTTTAAAAATGACTGGAGAGCCGGACATGGTGGCTCACACCTGTAATCCCAGCACTTTGGGAGGCTGAGGCAGGCGGATCACGAGATCAGCAGATTGAGATCATCCTGGCCAACAGGGTGAAACTCTGTCTCTGCTAAAATACAAAAAATTAGCCAGGGGTGGTGGTGCTGCCTGTGTCTCAGCTGCTGCTGGGGAGGCTGAGGCAGGGGAATCGCTTGAACCCAGGAGGCGGAGATTGCAGTGAGCTGAGATTGCACCACTGCACTCCAGCCTGAAGACAGGGCAGGACACCATCTCAAACCGCCCCCTCCCCCCCAAAACAACAACAGCAACAACAAAAACTGGAGATTTGTAGTAAAAAATCCATGTATTTCTAGCATTCCAGTTTTTGTTTCATTTTGCTTTTGGACATTAAATAATATTACCTAGTTGCAGTCATAGGGAAGAACAGGATGGGGAGAGGATTATGACTGATGAGCATCTCGGCTCTAATTTGTTGCCAAATTAAGCAGTTAGAACTGTTCTTTCTTGAATGATATCTTGACTTTCTCAGCCTCGCCTTGGGAATTGGAGCCAAGGTTAATGATGGGGGCGGCTTTCTGGCGATGAGAAATATTGTAAATCAGAGTTTTTCTACCAAAGGGCAGGGGACCTTTGAAAGGGGTTAGAGAGGTGTTGGGGAGCTGGTAACTGAGGGGTGGGCATGTCAGCTTAGGGGTTTCTTCCCTCGTGGTTACCATTTAGGGAGACAGTTGGTCTGGAAACGAGGAAGAAGCAGGTTTGGTTCAAGCCTTAGTGATCTGGGGCTCCCCCTGGCTAGCGGCTCTGTGGGGGAAACACAGCCTTGGGAGGGGAGGCCCTTTGGTTTCCTGGACTGCTTTCCTGAAGAAGGTTCCTTTTCCCTTGCAGGCGGCCAGTACCGGGCTGATCCGGCGTCTCTATCTACAGCGTGGTTAAAGCGGATCTGGGAGATGGAGGGGTTCCCAACACCCCAGTCTTTGGTTCCAGAAGGCTGGACCGACCTCTCCTTGTCCAGGGATGAATGCAGAGGGTCTTTTGTTTGGGGCTTGCTGGCAATAAAATTGGACGGGAAGAAGCGGAAAACTGCTGCCGATCCTGCGTGTCTCAGGTGGGATCCCCCAGTGCCCCTGCGAGGCAGTGAGAGACCCTCCCTTCACGGGCCTTCTGGGGTTAGAGAGCTGGCGGTCGGCCAGCCCCTGGAACTTTTGCCTTCTTAAGGTAGCTTTAAGACTTGCCGCCGCGGAGACTGGAGGCGCTTATTTAAAATTCCAGTCTTGCTCCCGAGGGCTTTGGTCTCCATCTTCACCTTTAACGACCGAGGGCTGGTGGCAGCGGCTCCCTCCTGCTCTGCGACAGGTGTCGCTTCTGAGCGGGAGTTTTGGGCACAGACATCGCAGATCCGCACCACCCCCAGGGGTCTGCATGAGTTTGAGCTGGACCCAGCCTGGAGGGGCTTTTTGGAAGAGGGCAAGTGGGCGGTGGGAGCCGGGAAGCAAGTGAGGGGAGCC